TTGAATATTATTTTCTTTGTGGCTATCTGTTAATGCTCTTAATTCGGCTGTTATTTTATTTAATTTAGTTTTATCACTATGAATTCTATTGGTTTGCCATTTCTTTCTTGCTTTCCGTTTTTCTGCAATTTTGTCTCTAATGAATTTAGGATAAATATTAGATTTAGGCGTTGGTGTTAAAATTGGTGTTGAGGCCCAAGCTGCGTTTTGTATGTCTTTTAAGAACTTTTCTACTTCATTGTCAATGTCTTCGTTTGTTTTCATAAGAGCATTAAGATGAATTTTATTATCTAATGTTTGTTGAAATAGATTCCAATTAGTGAGTTTATTAGTTAGTGATAAAAAGGGTTCTTTCTTACATACTTTGTTATTTAGAGTAATAATTACTGGTGAGTGATCTGAATCCAGCCCTAACTCTTCTTCTATGTTTACGAAGTTAAGCGATATATTTTTCGTAATAAAAAAATCAAGCAGGCCCGGAATTTTACATCTATCTGTTGGTCAGTAAGTTGGCTTCCCAGTGGAGAGCACCTCACAATTTAGGGCTTCTATTGCATGGTTCAGGTCTCTTTCCTTTTGTATTTGTCAAGCGAGAACCCCAAGACATATGTTTTGCATTAAAGTCTTCTCCAAGTATAAATTTGTTGTCAAGATGTAGTACAAGTTCCTGATAATCTTCTCTTTTGAGATTATGTCTCGGTGGTATGTAAGTACGTTGCTCCTACAGATATTAAGCCATTAGCAATTTGAACTTTTACCAATGTAGTTTGGTGTTGTTCAGTACTAATTGTATTGTTCAAATAGTGGTCAACATTCCTTATAATAATAATTGCATTTCCACTTCGAGCCGCATTACTCGGGGAATTGTGTGATAAATATTCTAATGGTTGATGTTTATATACGATTCTCGTGTAATGTGAGTTTCGGAGATAAGACATGTATCAATATTGTTTTCTTTAAGTATTATTGGTAGTGTGTTTTGATGCTGTCGAAGACCTAGCATTATTTTTAGTTGCTGCTTTTTAGACATTTTGCTTTCTTTTTTGAATCGCTAAATTGCTTTCAATGAAATCTATACGTGCATATAATGTTTTTATTGTTTCTTCTTGTTGAAGTATTTTTTCTAGTATTAGATTTAATTTACTCTTATCGATTAATGTACTTACAGTTTTCTCTGCAGTTTCACCACGCGCTTTTTCGGCATACGAGACGCCTGGCTTTATTTTATTTGAATTTACTGTTTTCTTATTACTGATGGATTGTTCCTTAATCACAATGCATCCTCGGTAGTTCGCTGGATGATTTTCTCCACAGTTGAAACATTTAACCGAGATTTTTTTGGCTTTAGTGCATTAGGTCCAGTGTTCACCAGCACATTTAACACATCTCGGATTATATCTCATTTAGATCAGCGATTGACATCTTTAATATAAATATATTTGAAACGACCTTGAGAATGTATAACTTCGGCTTATTGCAGGTAACAACTTCCTTTTCGACTCGATACAGAAACAACGTTTATAAAAATGATAATGAAGAATCAAATTGTGTACTATCAATATTTACTATAAACTTTTATGGTAGAAATTCAATTAAATTTTCTTGGCACAGAAAACACCATGGTCATTAATGCACATACAGTAGAAATTAACGCGGCGTTATCGCCAAAACGATCTACGCCGTCGACGTGAAAATGGAAATTAAGGGCAGCTTCCATCATTTACGTGGGCGCCATCGACTGCACCGGCAGCCGTTTAAAGGCGTCCCCGACGTGCAAACAGACTGCGAGTCCGCGATATCGACCTTCGGGGCGTGTGTAAAAGGCCAAATTGCTCTGGCCCCGTAAATATTTGCCCTTTGTACGGGGAATGGCCGCGTGCTCCACGATAATGTCCGGCGTAAATAAATATATGCAGAGCGGATATTAAATGTTCAAAGAGGTATTAAAAATATGATCGCGTTAAAATAACACTCGACGTGTTTTTTTTTTATTCAAATTTATTCGAAAGAGCTAATGGTTGGTGAAATCGGTAAATATCGTAATGAATTTTCGAGTACGCTAACCGGGTTGCTACGTCATCAAATGAAAATGCGAATGGTTTATTGCTAACGACCACGGTCCGTCATATGGATAGGTGAGCTTTGCAACGGATGGATGGTGTTCGTAAATTATGAGCGTATATTTTATGATTTTGATCATTACCGCTTTGTGAATATTGCTTGAAACCAATTTAGTGTCTATATATTTTAAAACCTATTAAATTTTATTTCTAAAAC